GGGCACAGGCTAACTGAAAACAAGGGAGCCAGTTCCCATAGGGCCTGGGGGATCCTGCAGCCTCAGAACTCGCTGCCAAATGTGCCGCTCGCCGCAAAATTACGCTCCAGGAACCCAGCTTTTATTTAGAGGAAGAAGCAGCCCCCAGCACTAGTGGCCGTGATGTCACCCTGAGATCTGGGGAACAGGTGCAGCTCCATTGCTGTCTCCCCAGTCTGCCTTCAGCCTGAAACAGCCGCTCAGCCTGGGGAGATAGCTCTGCAGTCAGGGGAAGGGGTAACAATTAAACCGTCATCATTAGGGCTCAGAGTTAACTACTTTACTGCTGATCGTATGAGCAAGAGATACCCAGCTAATGTGTGCATCTCTCAGTCCCAAACTGACTCGCTGGTGCCAAAAGCGCCAGCAACCATCGTCTCCAGCTTCCCTGACAGTGTCTGGGTCCTGTGCTGTTCGGGCAAATCTCTGCAGCACAGTCGGAATGGAAAACGGGGTGGCCAGGCAAAATGAGCAATCTCATCCTGGTCTGCCCAACCGACTCCCTGTCCGATGTAATTCACGACACTCGGACGTCTGCCACGGAAAGGGACCCACTGCAATGCTGCAGCTGGCGGCACAGCAGCACTGAAGGACCCAGGGGCCCCGCCGCAGAGCTTGTGCCCGGCTGGCCTGGACGCCCGCGCCAGCTCCCCCTACTATTCAGCAGGTCGGTTTCTGCTCACGCCACGAGCGCTGCCTGATTCGATCCTCAAAGGCAATGCTAAGGGTACAATCTATTCACAGCGCTGTACATCAGCCCTTGCGGTGCGACTCGCCCCCTACAGACATAGGCGCCCGGCTCCCCAAAGCTCCGAAGTCCCCGGCAGAGGCTCTCGCAGTCTTGGGCCTGTAGCCAGGGGCCCCTATTGAACTCTGTAGGGTTCTAGCTCCGAAAGCCACTAGCTTCTGGCACTGCCCAGGGAGCCCAGACACCCGGAAAGGTTGAAACACTAAAAATCTTCCAGCACACGGTTT